CTTCCCTCTCCTGCTCTCTATCTCTCATTCTCTCTCTCTCAAATAAATAAATAAAATCTTAAAAAAAAAAGCTGATTAGATGTTCTGTGTGCATGGTGGTGATTGCTGACAATGAACTTCACAGAAGGATGATCTGACTGACATGTCCTAGGCAAACCACTTATATTGGTATTTATGGAATTTTTTTTCTCTTGGCCAATTCAAATTCCTCAAAGGAAACATTTTTGCTCATGTTGTAACCTTTATATAAATTTTGAAATACCATGTATTCACACATCTTTGGTAACATCTAAAATTTTCATCTTAAGTTTCAATAATTGCAAGCATGGAATTTCTAGCACATTATCAATATTAACTTTTGAGAAACTATTACACAAACTTTAGACTCATAGAAAAGTTGCAAAAATATACAGAGTTCCATATACCCTTCATCCAGCTTCCCTAATGTTAACATCTTACACAACCAAAGTACTATTATCAAAACCAGGAAATGAATATTGACAAAATACTGTTGGTTAGAGACCTTATTCAAAATTCACCAGTTTTGCCAATAACACCTTTTTTCTGTTTCAGAATCCAATCCAGGACTCCATACTCAATTTAGTTTAGTATCTCTTTAGTTCTGGTCTTTGATAATTACTCCACCTTTGTCTTTCATGATTTTAACACTTTTAGAGATTACTGATCAGTTATTTTGTAGATAACCTTCAGTTTGGCTTTGTCTAAAGTCCTCTCATTATAAAATGAAGGTTATGGGTTTGGGGCAAAAATACCAGAAATGATGTTTATGCCCTTCTCAGTACACCATAGATCAGGAGTCCATGATACTGATGGGTCTTATTCCTGGTGATATTAACCATGATCTACTAGTTAACATGGTATTTGCCATGATACTCTATGTAAATTTACTTTTTCCCCTTTTCAATTAACAATATTAAAGATAAAAATTATTTTATCACTCTTCTAAATGTATCAAATGGACCCTAAAAACTATTAATCTGATAACCCTCATCATCTACTGAACTATTCCTTTACTATTGAACTAACTTATCCTTAACACTCAAAAATTTTTATAATGTTCCTTTTTTTTTAAGATTTTATTTATTTATTTGTTAGAGAGAGAGACAGAGCACAAGCAGGAGAGCGACAGGCAGAGGGAGAAGCAGGCTCCCCGCCAAGCAGGAAGCCCGATGTGGGACTCAATCCCAGGACCCTGGGATCATGACCTGAGCCAAAGGCAGCTGCTTAACCGACTGAGTCACCCAGGCAACCCGATATAATTTTCCTTTTTCTTGAACTATTTCTTTTTTTTTTTTTAAGATTTTATTTATTTATTTATTTGACAGACCGGGGGGAGAGAAAGAGAGAGAGACAGTGAGAGAGGGAACACAAGCAGGGGGAGTGGGAGAAGGAGAAGCAGTCTTCCCACCGAGCAGGGAGCTTGATGCAGGGCTCAATCCCAGGACCCTGGGACCATGACCTGACCCGAAGACAGACACTTAACGACTGAGCCACCCAGGTGCCCCTTGAACTTCTATTTCTATTGTATTTATTCTACAGAATATTATCCTGATGTCACGTATTTTTACACTTGGATTACATATTTATTATCCAACTGTTCTTCACTGCAAAAACATACCTGTACATAAATATAAATTTTTCAAATTTCTTGTGACTGTGAAGTTCTAATTATCAATCCAAAAGAAATTTTGAGTTATCATTATCATTAATATTAGTACATGATAGATCAAAACACAAGTGTATTATGCATTTGGAAAACTATTAGGCAAAAAATAAAATTTTACTGAAAATACATCTCCTATGAAATAAATGGAGCTCACTTTTTTTTTGGTTTATGAATCCATGAATGAATACTGCTTAATACCAGAAGGAGACAAGGTTCAGCATTAATTCTATTCCTATTTTTGTATAGATAAAAGTACTTAATAACCATAGAAGGGAGCAGAAAACCTTTTGTTATAATGACATTATTCAATTCTGTGAGCTCCCTTAGAGTTATGTGCCAGATTTCACACAATCTACTGTAAAGAACTATTTTTAATAATCTGACATCAACCTAACCCAAAAAACATACAAACTCTATGTCCCCCACAGTGATCTCTTTATTTCAGGCTAAAAAAGAATTTATGTAGTTTCTTAAATTTCATTGTAGTGTAATAGGATTTGACTTCATAAACAGTCTCCTTTTATATATCAAAACTATTTTTACATCCCAATAAACATCCCAATATAATGATTTGCTATTTAATTTAAAAATCATAAATAGTTAAGTGACACCATAAGGCTCTCATTCAACTACAAATTTGTTTAATAAAGATTTAATCTGTGCTATTAGTACAGTTTTTTTTCCCTGATAACATACATTAGGAACACTTCTATTACAAAATGTTTTAGTATTTGTTTTGGATGTTTTTTTCAAAATATTGTACATTTGGGTTTCCTTTAAAAAAATGCTTCCAGACTGAATTAAATGGTTATTAAGTCAAAGGCTTATATAAGGACACCTAATTCTACTGTTATCTGGTAGATGACAGCCAGAGCTTAAAGTGGAAAACAACTAAAATAGGGCGCCTGGGTGGCTCAGTTGGTTAAGCGACTGCCTTTGGCTCAGGTCATGATCCTGGAGTCCCAGGATCGAGTCCCACATCAGGCTCCCTGCTCAGCAGAGAGTCTGCTTCTCCCTCTGACCCTCCCCCCTCTCATGCTATCTCATTCTCTCTCTCTCAAATTAATAAATAAAATGTTAAAAAAAAAAAGAACTAAAATAAACAGTAAGGAGGTAATGCAATTAGTAGAGAAGTATGGAAGGTGTTAAAGTGGTAGACAAGTAGAACTTGAAAGCTCAAGGATATAAAATTTAGTAACTACCACAACAAGCAAAAATAGAGGCCAGGTCATAGAGGAGAGAAGGAGCCCCAAAAGCACATGAAAGAAAGAGAAGCACACTCTTGGAATCAAGTAATGATCAGAAATACTGAAAGAAATGTTACGCCCTTTAACTGTGTGCCTTCAAGCCTTCAAGCTCTAAATAAGTATAGACTAATACATGCTCCACATGTCTATTAGCTAGTTTGAGGTAAGAACTCCCCTGGAGCCAATATGAGAAGCCAAAAAAAAAAAAATTCCTCCAATTGCCATAGGAATTACCTTGTATAAAATAAAGCATAAAGCAACTAAAACATACCTCAACCTCAAAGCTTTTAAACATTAAAAAAACCTGATGCCTTTTATGCAATGCTTCCATTTAACCAACATTATTATTCTGCCCCTGGATAATGATATCTTTCTGAATTTATACAAGAATAAAATAGCATATTAAAAGAGAACCCAAGTATTTATTAAAACAGCAAACCAGCTGGGGCACCTGGGTGGCTCAGTTGGTTGAACATCCGGCTCTTGATTTCAGCAGAGTCATGATCTCAGGATAGTGAGATAGAGCCCCAAGTCAGGCTCTGTACTCATCGGGCAGTCTGCTTGAGATTCTTTCTCCCTCTTCCTCTACCCCTACCCCCGCCACGTGCACTCTCTCTCCCTCTACACTAAATAAACAAATCTTTATATTTTTTTAAGTTTATTTATTTATTTATTTGACAGAGAGACAGAGAGAGACAGCAAGAGAGGGAACACAAGCAAGGGGAGTGGGAGAGGGAGAAGCAGGCTTCCCACTGAGCAGGGAGCCCGACGCAGGGCTCGATCCCAGGACCCTGGGATCATGACCTGAGCCGAAGGTAGCCGCTTAACCACTGAGCCATCCAGGCGCCCCAATAAATAAATCTTTAAAAAAATAAAACAGCAAACCAGTTTAAACTATATAGATCGCAGTTTTTTATTCTTGAGAAAAAGTGACCTTCTCACTGACTACATGCACTAATTCTTAAGTGTGTACTAACTATGTGATTAAGGTATCAGTCACAACTGTTCTGCAAACCAACAGTGAATTTGGTATGATCTTTAGACTTGACCTGACCAAAAGGGCTAAATTTGGAAGGTGTAAAATGTGAGAAAGGCTGAAAATAATGTCAGTGTTCTCTATGAAAGGTCTTTTGGTCAAGGTACAGAAAAAGCCAACTTGTTATGTGGTGGTTATAAGGTGAGGGTGTATGTGTGTACATGGATCAAGCAGGTTAGATCTTTCTAGCTCCAGGTACCTCTAGGGAGCGGAAATGGCAGGAAAATAGGTAAAGCAGGATGAGGTAAAGCTCCACCCATCTTTTAGGAACAGGGTATAGGTGGATCTTAGGATCAAAAATCCAAACTTAAGAAGATTAACAATTTCAAAGCTATTTGAATTCTCTAAATATATTATTTTGTTTTTCATGCTAATAAGCAAAGCTGCCTTTAACAAATCAGGTTGAACCAGCTGTGTGAGGCAGACAAAGGCTATGCATTTGGTCCATAGGTAGACAGCAGTTTTAAAAGGAGCCCATACTAGTGATAGTAGCAGGAATCAAACAACCACTTTAAATAAAGGGAAGGACGTGGTAGGAAGTCAAGACAGCCAAATATGAGGCTCAACATACAACTCTCTTTGCACATACATGGAGAAATCTTACCCTCTGTCAAACGTTTACTTTTGTTTTGTTCTTCAAGACTTTCCTAACAGGGGCGCCTGAGTGGCTCAGTGGTTAAGAGTCTGCCTTTGGCTCAGCTCATGATCCCAGGGTCCCGGGATCGAGCCCCACATCAGGCTCCCTGCTCCGCGGGAAGCCTGCTTCTCCCTCTCCCACTCCCCCTGCTTATGTTCCTTCTCTTGCTGTGTCTCTCTCTGTCAAATAAATAAATAAAATCTTTAAAAAAAAAAAGACTTTCCTAACAATCCTCATTTACATAGAAAGGTAGAATCAAAGTACTCCCAAGAAATACTAAGTAAAATAACCTCAATTTAAACTCTATAAAGAGTCATTTAAAAGGATATTGCTATAGTTGGGGTCTAAAAAGGTTTCCATAATATATAGTTTAAATAACTTTTAAAGACTCACCTGTAGGCTTAACTGAATAAAACCCAATGGCTTCTCCTTTCTTCCACAGAATCTTAGCGTAATCAGTACTGCTATGACACAGAAATGGTATCTCATTTCTCTCCATTTCCTGTTTTCTATAAATAATCCGATTCAGAACATACAGAACCACTCTCTCCCCAAGAGTTCTCACCTGGAAAGAGAGTCAGACACCAGGCACAACAGTTATGATATGCATCCATTCAGAGATGCTATCTACCTTGCTCCCTGCTTCCACACCTCATACTAGCATTCAAAGCACTTTGAATACAGTCAAAATGATTTCTTAAACCTTTCATCACACAGATGAGACCCATCATTTGTACCAATAACAATCCATTTCTACAAACACATATTATGCATGGAATACTGCCTCTCAGCAAATTCTAAAACACGTAAAACGAGTTTCTAATGTACCAATCCCCAGCATCTCTTCCTTAGTGTTCAAGTGTTTTCTTTTTCCTTCCAGCCACCCAGATCCAGGGTCTCCCCCACCCTAATTGCTGCCCCACCACCTCTACTGCTTCTTCTTCACCCCATTTTAGCTTAAATAGTAAATAAGAAAGGGGAAAAAAAGCCTCATGTTATCCTCTAAGACTTTAAGAACAACTACCTTATTTAATAAGCAAGGCCATAATTATGCTCTTGGGAAAGGAATCTGTCTCATCTTTCCAGGTAAAATGTTCATTTAACAGTCATGTCTTGGTTGTCTAACTGTAAGGAATAGCCAGCTTGCCCCACACACATACCCTTCTGCCAGATCAGATGAGTGACGACAGTGGCACAGGCAAATCCGATAAAAACAAACTTGGGGCAATCACAGAATGGAAGCAGAGCCTCACTTCCTAGATGCAAGGCCACATGGTCACCAGAACCCCCTCACCAACTTTCTGACATCAAATGATGGGGTTTTTTCCCCAGAGACATTTTTCACCACTAAAAACAAGAGTTCCATCCATAAAGTCTATTTCCCCTCAAGTCTCCTTAAAGAAGCACAAGAGTGCCCTCTAATTAGGTGAGTGAAGAAAGAAAAGCATTAACTATACACACACTACTCTCAAAAAAAAAAAAAAGAAAGAAAGCAAGCAAGCAAGCAAGCCTTAACCATACTACACACTAGGGGATATCAGATACCAAACAACAAAGGAAATGACAAAGCTCACTAGCTTTCAGGGCAACCCATTCCTTCCCTGAACAGCTCCGACCAGTATAAAATTCTTCTTCATACTGAGCTGACCATAGCCAGACTAGACTTTGATACCCTGGAGCCACACAGCCTAAAAATGTTTGAAGAAAGCCATGACATTCCCCTAAATTTCACACCATAGGAACAAAGGAACAACTGAAGGAAAAGACTGATCTAATGCAATTTTGGGTACTCTGTCCATTCCAGTCTTCTCCCTTGAAACAGCTCCAGATCCTTCTAACATCTCTCCATCGGGACTTGCAGATATTACAAAACTAAACATTGAAGATGTTGCTGAGACAGTGGGGCTTTGCTATATAAGCTCAAGTTTTTTTATTAGCTTTTTTGCTTACCTTGGTTTTACTTCTAATTAACTAAAGCCCACTCATGTTTGTATGTGCTGTTTTAGCTTGTTCTTCATGGTGTACATGTGCAGTTAATTTTTTGAACCCATGGGTACTACTTTTCATCATGTTAGACCCTGCTCTTTGTTTCTTCATTCTACCTTTCACAGACTTGTTCTCCCATTCAGCACTGTGGCAGGCAAAATTGATCAGCATACCAACTGTGTCTTGATGACCAGGACAGAAAAAAGGACAAAGTGTGGCAGTATGCTACTGAGGATCTCCCTTCTAGTCCACTGATTAGAACACCTGAAAACAGACCACCTGAAATAGCCCTACCAATAGGCAAGTTTCCTGGTCAGTGTCTCTTAGAGACAGACAACCTAGGCAAACACGCAGACAGAACTAGCTTTCTCTCTACCCTGTAAGAAAATCAAAAGCTGACGTCGATACAGGTCACTACAGTTCAAGTAACCCATAGGTATTCACTCTTCCTCACCAATTCTCAGATACTTTCAGAACCACATAAAATTTAGGAAGCGCAATCAGACTACCAGTTTCATCATAACAATGAAACTCTTAAGGGTTTAATACAACCTAGTTATACTAAAATAGAGAAGTGCTCAATAATTTCAACAATTATCAATGTTTATGGGGAACATACTGTGGTATGACCTCAGAAGAAACACTTTTAAATTATAGGATCTTGTTACCTGCTTAAGCCCTTCTCTAGAAGGGACAGATGTTTTCACAATATCATCAATAGCCCACCATTGATCAGCAAGGTAAAGTGCCACAGCTAAAACAGAATAAATGATTATTAACATTTAAGACTTAACAGTATACAATATTACTATGTGAAGAAGTTTATACAGGTAACCTTAAATATACCCACATTTCATAATACAATGTGGCCCCATTTATACCATTTTTATTTTATTTCACTCATTAAACATTTAATTACAAGTGAAAATTTTATTTTCCCGAAATTTAGTTTGAAACAATTTTTTAAAATTCCTTCACACAGTTACTTTTTAATAAATATCTAATTGTTTGGAGAAAAATTCCTCAAGTTATAAAGATTAAGCAGAAAAGAAACCTGTGAGTGAGTCCTCAGGTGCAAAAAGGGCAAGAATTTTCTCGGTCTGATCTCCACCATAAAGAGGTACAAAGCCTACATTTGACAGGCTAATAGGAATCTGAAATGACATTGATTAAAGATCAGTGAAATCCGTTAAGAAAATATAGAGCAAAAACACCATGCTTCTACAAAAATATTAAACTTTCTCTACATTAATGCTAATTATAGAACTTAATTTCATAGAAGATATTTCTAGGCTCAAAAAAAAAGTAAATCAGACTTCCCTTTTGCAGGAATTTTACTATCTTGGGGAAAAAATTAAAGTTTATTTCAATAAGTATTACTACTGTGCTTTGGCCACACAACTGAATAAAAAGAAAGGCATGATATGGTATATAAACCCATTAAAAAACAACTATAGTTTATCTGTTATTTAGACAACTTCAGGGGGAAAATTCCATTTTATAGTAAAAGACATCAGAGAGGTACATTTGTTTTTCCACTGAGATACATATGATACTTTAAGATTTTTCTACCTCCATTAATCTGACCATAATTCCCATTGATATCACAATTCAGATAATTATAAAATACTGGTGCTTTAGAAGAACAGACTTTAAAGAAGCCTTTAAACATCATTCTCTAAAAGAAAACTCTGAGGCCTAGAGAGGCCTGAGAACCATGTAGTTCACAGTAGAATGCTAACGATCTTTCCATCACAATATATCACACTTACTAATTAGGAAGTTTGATAGAAAAAGGAAGATTTGTGACACAAAAATGTATAATTCATGTTTTGCTGATTTTTTATTAAAAAATTTCTAAAATCACAAATTCCAAATCCAAAGTAAATTTAATTTAGTTAGCTCAAATACAATAACCCATCTTAGCAAAACAACTTTTATGTAATTTTAAAGGCAAAATATAGGGGCGCCTGGGTGGCTCAGTTGAGCGTCTGCCTTTGGCTCAGGTCATGGTCCTGGGGTCCTGGGATGGGCCCCACGTCGCGTGGGCTCCCTGCTCCACGGGGGCCTGCTTCTCCCTCTCCCACTCCGCCCCCCGCTTGTGTTCCCTCTCTCAATGTGTCTCTCTCTGTCAAATAAATGAATAAAATCTTTAAAAAAAAATAAAGGCAAAATATAAATATTCAGCAATAACCTATAGAGTGTCTTTTTAAAACTTCATCATGCTGTTGTACTAACCAATCAATATTTTACCGTTTTACTTAAGATTCTTCTGATGCAAATTTCAAAAGTAATTAGTTAACATTTTTAAATGATAAAAAATAAGATACTGATTTCACGTGTAAACTCAACTGAAAAGGTTGAGAAAAATCACCTTTGCACACCTTACCGTAATATTGAGAAGAGAAAAACATTCAGGGTTTTCAGGGTCCCCACACCTTAGATCTGACATATAATCTTCAGCAGAATTTTCCAATTCCTCATGACTGCAATTATCCAGCATATCCACAGGGAATGCCATCCTCTACAACAAACAATACGGGACAAATGTTTCAGCATATGAAATGTTATCTTCCTTTACTCATAGAAAAAACTAACACCAGGGCGCCTGGGTGGCTCAGTCTTTAAAGCGTCTGCCTTCATCTCAGGTCATGATCCCAGGCTCCTGGGATCAAGTCCCACATTGGGCTCCCTGCTCAGCAGGAAGCCTGCTTCTCCCTCCCCCACTCCCCGTTTGTGTTCCCTTTCTCGCTGTGTCTCTCTCTGTCAAATAAATAAAATCTTTAAAAAAAAAAAAACACACTTTAAGGGAACTTCACTTTCACTGTGTGGAGACAGACAACAATTTGAGCCTGCTGACTGAAAATGTACATCAAAAAGAAAACTTCGTGGGGCGCCTGGGTGGCTCAGTTGGTTGAGTGTCCAAATCTTGATTTCAGCTCAGGTCATGATCTCTGGGTCCTGGGATCAAGCCCTGCGTGGAGCTCTGCGCTCAGTGGGGAGTCTGCTTTAGGATTCTCTCTCCCCCTCTGCCCCTAGCCCCTGCTCTCTCATTCTAAAATAAATATATCTTTTAAAAAAAAATTTAGGTGAAACTAAAAACACGAAACAGTAGTGGATGAAAGAAGCATAATTAGGACACTAATTAAGAGAATGTATTAATTGTTTTTACTCTCTTATAGCAAGATCCCAGCTTTATATCCAAGTTAAACACTAAGACATTTAACATACCATACCACTGACTAGATGAAGCTCAAGTAAGATTACCATTACACCATTTCCCTTAAACCAACTCAAAAGACTCTTGAAAATTAGCTACCAGAACAAGCAATGAATGAAATATATTTAAAAATTTCATTTGCTGGGGGTGCTGGGTATCTCAGTCAGTTAAGCAACCAACTCTTGATCTCAGCTCGTCTTGATCTCAGGTTTGTGAGTTCAAGGTCCACGCCAGACTCCACAATGGACTCCACACTGGGCCTGGCGCCTACTTAAAAAAAAAATTTTTTTTTTCATTTGCTGGGGCACCTGGCTGGCTCAGTAGGTGGAGCATGTGACTCTTGATCTTGGAGTTGTGAGTTTGAGCCCCACCTTGGGTAAAGAGAGTACTTAAAAATTTTATTTTTTTTAAGATTTTATTTATCCATTTGAGAGAGAGTGAGTGATCAGGGGAGGAGTAGAGGGAGAGGGACAAGCAGACTCAGAGCCCGATGCCAGCCCGATCCCACTACCCTGAGATTGTGACCTGAGCCAAAATCAAGAGTTGGACGCCCAACCGAGCCACCCAGTGTCCCTAAAAATCAAATTCTTTTAAATAATAAAAATAAAAATTTCATTTGCTAACAGTAATCATAATCTAAAGGATGAAACGTAAGTTAATGTTTGAAGCCTGCTGTCAAAAACTTGGCCTACAAAAGCACAGTTGATTATAATCATACAAATATAATACGGCATTCTAGATAAAAAAAAAAAAAAGGACCGAAAAAGAAAAATAGTCTTGACCAAACAGCAAGTTTTTCATGACTTTCTTTCTTCTTCATCTACTGTTACTATGATAATTACGGATCTTAAAAGATTTTAATTGCTAACGTCACGTTTTAAGTGCATTTTTTTTGGTTTCATTATTGGAAGACAATTCTAATAAATAGGCAAAAGCGGGTGATCTGAATAAAGAACCCAATGGCATAGCCCAGAATAAGACATTTTAAGGCAGTAAACAGTCTTAGAGGTCTTGGTTTCTTATCTAATACACTTCAGAGAAGAGTCATGTGTGGACCCACCCACTAGTCCACAGCAGAATGAGCCAGAAACACGAGCTGGTCTCCCTAAGCCACTGATCTGTCCTCTATCCTAGTGCTGCCCAACCTTCAGTAATTTGCATACCACTGTGAACATTTTTCCTAGGGTGTTAAATGTCTATATCACTATTTAACTAATGTATTTCTCAAGTCACTTCTTTTTTTATTAAGTAAGCTCTACAACCAGTGTGGGGCTTGACCTCACAACTCCAAGATCAAGAGTCAAATGCTCTACCAACTGAACCGGTCAAGTGCCCCTCAATTCACTTCTTTAAAAATACACACACACCTCTCTCCATCTTTCCTCCCCTCCTCTTTTTTAATGTGGTAAAACATGCACATAACACCATTTTAACTATTTCCAGATTTATAATTCTGTGACAGTAAGGACATCTCAAATACTGTACAATCATCACCACTCTCTGGTCTCCAGAACTTTTTCACCATCCCAAATAGAAACTCTATTCCACTAAACAATCACTTTCCATTCCCTCTCTGCTCATCCCCTGCTAACCACGATTCTATTCTGTATCTCTATGAATTTGCCTAGTCTAGGAACTTCTTAAGTGGAATCACACAATAATTGTCCCTTTGTGCCTGGCTTGTTTCACTTAGCATAGTGGTTTTAAGGTTTATCCGTGTTGTAGCATGTATCGGAACCTCAGTTCACTTTTTTAGAAACATTTTATTTACCCTTAACTCTAAAACCACCAATGTGATATATAAGATTATACATTTTCCTAATCAGCATTAAAATTTCTAACTACCATCATTTAAATGGTCACTTGAATACCACTAAAAAACACCTCCTAAATCACCAGTATTATGTCAGCACATTTTAGAAAACGTTTCACTATGGGTACAGGAGTGCTTACCATAAGAAAATACTATTACAAATCAAAGGCAAGTACAACATGACTAAATGAATTAAAGTGTAAAAACAAATTCATTATCTTTCATTCTTAAGCCTTTTTAGATGGCCTTTTTTTATTTTTGTTTTAAGATTTTTATTTATTTATTTATTTATTTATTTGACAGAGAGAGAGAGACACAGCGAGAGAGTGAACACAAGCAGGGGGAGTGGGAGAGGGAGAAGCAGGCTCCCCACCAAGCAGGGAGCCCGATGCGGGGCTTGATCCCAGGACCCCGGGATCAGGACCTGAGCCGAAGGCAGACATCTAACGACTGAACCACCCAGGCACCCTACATGGCCATTTTTAAATAGAAAAATAATTGCTTCTGGGCTTATTATTAAAGAATATTCACATACTTACACAAAATGAAACAATTATTTTCCTGCAGTCCAACCATTTAAGAACTCTGAAATTTGCATAAAAAGCATTTCTGGGGAGAGAGCCCCTAACACACACCCCTTCTAAAATATTTTTGGGTTGCAAATCTGTCCTTAAATCCATTACTTTTATTACTAGTTGCTCTCGGTGCTCAGTTTTATTGGCTAAATAATCACCTAAAAGTAATTAAATGAAGGTGAAAGAACTAGAAATTATTATAAATCAGTTAACAACAGCAGGTAACATTTACTGAGAACTGACCATATATACCAGACTTTAAAGAGACAGCCATATTGAAAATATAGTGAGATATTTCTATTAGCCCCAATCTGTAGATGAAGAAACAGAATGTCATACCACTAGGAGGGCTAAAAGAACAGGAATCCAGACAATTAAATATACCTTCCAATATTATTATTTTTACTCAATATGCAAAATCTTATTTGTGATGGTTATATGAAATCTCCCTTTATAAAATAATAATTCCTTTGTTATTAAGTATTCTATTCATATGTTACACAAGAAAAGAGCAACTGGAATTGGAATTCTATGTATGACCCTGGTTCCTGGGTCAGCTCTGCCACTAGCTAAGTCAGTGACCCTGGGCAAGTTACTCACCCTCTTTAAGCTTCTGTATTCTCATTGGTAATGTGATGCAACTGGACAGGATAATCCTAAGGACCTTTTTACCTCTAAATGTTTATAAGTGTTTTATAAAAAAAAAATATATTGGTTAACTCATGACTGTAAATTACTAGCCTTATGGTGGGTCTCCTACAATTTAGAGGCAAGAGAAAAATGGTAAGGCTCTAAAGAGAAATATAGGTTGCTATGATAAATCACTCACTTCTCCCCCTTTTTTGTTGTTTTTAAGCTTCTGTTCTGTGTTACATAACTGTAAAGCTGTCAGATCGAATTTTGTCAAGTACTTTATGCTCTACCCATGAGATAAACCAAAAGGGCTAACTAGATTCTACATGAATGAGAAAGCTTAGTGTTGCCTTAAGCAAACTAAGTCATCAAAAAATTTACACAGAATGGATAATGAAGTGTAAAAAGTGTCCAAATTAATTTATAAATTATGTAAATGTTATGCTCATTAATCCTGGCTAACGTGTATAAAAACACAATACTAATACCTCTTATGTAAGAATTTTAAGATGCCCATCAGCTATTTTACATCTACCTTTTAATAATTCCACCCCTCTTCCCCAAAAAATTATATTAACTATTTGAAAGAATAAATGCTTTACATAATAAAAAAAAGAATAAATGCTTTTAGGAAGATAATATGAAAAAGAGAAAAGTTTTATTCCTACTACTGTGATATTTTTTTTCCCTTTTTAAGGTTAATTATTAGATGTCAACTATACTCTTTAAAAGGAGGAATGTATTTTACAAATTCGGTTCCTAAATTTTCAAGATTCTTATAGATTATTACTATCATTTGGAGGCTTTAGGGGGAGAGGAATATAAATAAAAATACGGACATTTTAGAGCTGAAAGAGTTCTTAGAAAAAAAATAATTATCTCAACCAATGCAAGTCATGACCCTATTTCTCCTGATTGTTTCCCCAACATGAAAATAGGTTAGGTATCGAGGCAACATCATCAGTAATGCTCTCAACCTTTTCACAAAAAGCCTGTTTCTGAACCTTCTTTTGATTCTTCTCCAAATTCTTCCCTTTTCACTTTTCTCCCTAACATCGTTTTTTCCCTAACTAACCTAGCCCCTGTACATTAGCTCAACAATCTCTTTATCTTATTTACCCTTTATTCTTCTATCCCTCCTGCCCGACCCAAGGCCCTAATCCCTACATTAATCCTTCTCCAGTGTTAGAGCTGAGATTCTGAATATGACAAAATGGAACTAGTGAATAAACCGCTCCAACTATCAAATCTCACGCGGGCTCAATGCTGCTCACAAATCCTGT